CTCTAGAGAATTCTCTCTACAAGTTTCAAGTGTTCTTGGAGTCTCAAAGCCGTTCTTGAAGATTCGAAGGAAGATTCAAGCACATTCAAGCTCAAAATCGACGTTTAATCCGGAAACAAGCTGTCAAGCCTCCGAATTGCGTTCATATTCAAGTTCGAGTTCAAGATCTCTCGACGAGATTCAAGTGTTCTTGAAGATTTAAAGGCGTTCTTGAAGACTCAAAGCAAGATTCAAGCGCGTTCAACCCCAAGACTAGCGTTCAATCCGGAAACAAGCTGCGAAGCCTCCGAACAACGTTAGTAAATTCAAAACCGGCGTGAAGAAGATTCGAGATCAACTTTGCGACGAAGACCAAGGATTCGTGTTCTTCACGTTCTTGGGATATTTTGACGTTTGATCCGGGAAAAAGCTTTCAAGCCCTCGGATTACGTTAATTCAAGTCAAATCAAGTCAAGGAGAAGATCAAGCCGAAGATTTCGCTCCAAGACTTAATATATTATTTGTGAGAAGAATCAGAGGAATAATAGAGATTGTAACCCGCAATATTATTTTGATTCAAGAATTTATTTGAATAATATTTTTCGTGTTTTTTTTAAATTCAATACACGAAATTTGTTGTTACACCATGTCCGCCGGAACTAATAGAGATAGGAGGAGACTGTGTGTGTAAAATTGGGTGATTTTTGTGTGTGTGTGTGTGTGTGAGAGAGAGAGAGAGAGAGAGAGAGAGAGAGAGAGAGAGAGAGAGAGAGAGAGAGAGAAAGAAGGAATTGGAACAGATGGGGTGGGAAGGGGACGGGCAAGTGGGTGTGGGACCCATGTTTGATGTGTTTTGTTTCGAATGACAATTTTATCCTTAATTAAGGTCAATTGTGTATATTTGACTACAATGTGTATGTAAAATTACCACATTGCCATTAATGATTGACCAAGTTTTGACTTAATCATAACCATTGATGTGTTAGATCCAATGATATATATTTATTCTTATTTCTTTCACTATCTACCATTCTCATATGATCCTAACTCTATATATATATATATATTATTTCACAAAATCTAAAGCAGCAACACAATTCATAATTTTTCATCTTTTTGGAAAATGTTAAGGTCTCGTTACGGAACTATTTCGTCGAAATTTTGTAACCGTTAGATCATCATGTAATCGTCAGAGATAGTTGATCTAACGGTTACAAACTCCAACAGAATAGTTCCGTAACGAGACCGTAGCATATTTTCTATATTTTTATTTATCAATTTACTTATAACAAGCAATTGCAACATAAGTAATTATTAAATATGATTTCACACTTTTTATTAGAGGGTAAAATTGAAGCCTATTTTATGAAGAAGCTCCAAGTCTTGTCCATGTGCCATGCATGTTGCATATTTACCAAGTATACACCTTTTATTGAATTCACACTGCCAAGTATTAGAAAATTGATTTTTCCCTTCATGTTTTGGTTTATATGGGGAAAATTTTATAACTGCCTCTTTTTAACAAAGATTTTTCAAAATAACTTTTATCTATACACAGTTCTCAATTTACTCCAACCAGTAGACATAAACAACCATTCTCTATCTTTCTTTCTTCTCTCTCTTCATTGTCTTTCCCACGATAATTTTTTTTCTTCTCTTATTTTTTTTTTTCCTCCCCTTTTCTTTTCATGTTCTCCTTCTCCAAAATATTTGT